ATAGCCAACCCAAACCGACCTAGGGTCTGACCCTGCTCAGCAACCCACCAGAATCTAGATCTAACCCAACCCCCTAGGGTTTCTGAAACCATAACCCTAGAAATATAATGTCTGACGCTGCCGCATGTTCTCCAATGTCATCGTCGACTACTCCCATCTGTACCAACAGTGACTCAATCAATCAACCGTTCATCAAAATCCCAATAAAAAAATATAAAATCCAAATCATATCCAAAAAGAAATCTATCACTATTATATAACATGAAAGAGCCTTTAGTGAAAAAAGAAAAAGGATTTTGGGGTTTCAAAAGAAAAAACAAAGAGAGATATCAAGATATTCGATGAGGGGGTTTGGCGAGAAAAAAATATACAGAGAGGGAGGGTGAACCCATTCGAACCCAAGCATCAAACCAAATAGAAAAATAGCAAAACCCATTCAAACCAAACGAAAAAAAAGAAAGAACAATGAGAGAAACCCTACCTTTGATCGGAAGAACGTGAGGAAGCTCGAGGGTCACCAGGACTTTGGGTTCTTTGAAAGTATTATACTAGATCTAGGGTTCTTGAGAGATTTTTAGGCTAAAAGGATTCGGGTTTTAGTTTGAGGATAAGGAGAGGGTTTGTTTAGGGTCGGTTGTGCTTCTCCGGCCACCGTGCACCGCCGTGTGCCTCTCAGGCCGCTGTGGCCTTTCTTCTCCCCGAGGGGAGGGTTGAGAGAGTCTGTGACCCTCTCTCTTTGTTTTTCTGATAAAGAGGAGAAATGAAGGGGTGATGGGAAAAAACCCTAAATTAGGGTCTATATAGTGAACACAAAACGCTGTTGTTTTGCCCCCAACCCCATCCATGTTTTCTATTTAGAGGATAATAGCCTTTTTGGTCCCTAGGTTTTTGTAATCTTATTATTAAGCCATTAAATGAAAGTTTACTTTATTTGACTTTGAGCACTTATATTTCAGTATTTACGTTTTAGTCCTATTATTATATGGTACGTAATTCCTGTTAATATTTGACTTTGGTCACTATGTTTGTAATTATTTTATTTTAGTCACTGATTGAGTGTGTTATGATATTATCCTTGATGTTTAACTTTGACCATGAAATTTGTAAATATTTTATTTTAGTCACTGTTTGGCATTTGGTTTAATTCTTGTTTAGTCCCTTATAGCATTTTTCGGGTTATTTACATTTTCAGCGCTTGTATTATTTAATATTTTTAGTCTTGGCCCTGGGTTACTCTGCTTATTGTAAATATTTTATTTCACATTTACAATCGTATTTGTTTATATTGTTTTTCCTTAACGATTAATTTTATTCGAATATTTCAAGAACCAATTTGTAGAATGAGCGTGGAAAGTATCACTTGATCGAAGTGGTACAATCCGATACGATGTTATAATGAAATGGGACTTGGAATAAATCTATTTTATTTTATTAATTAAATATTTTATGTGAATGATTCAATGCGTTTTTATTAATTTGTTTTATTTTTGTGCAAATGTCGATATTCATTTTTATTTCGATACGTGTTATTCAAAGGTAGAATATTCTTTTACGAATGAGAAATGGTTGATATAGCTTTCCCGATGAAGGATTGCGAATTTCAAGATTTCTTATCGAGTAAAAGGATTTTCTTTTAAATAATTAAATCAAAGTAAGTTAATTAAATTTTAATAAATGGATGATAATTTAACTTTATATTTGATTCATACTTTCCACTATTTACGACAATGTGTAAGTGATTCAATACCAGTTTTTGGGCGTTGTAGGGGTGCTTACCCTTCCCACATCCCGAACTCGTTTAAACGAATCTATGGTAAACGCATACAAGATTTTGTCTTAAAAAATGATTTTTCCTTAAAATTATTTTTAAAAAACATTTTTAGATATTCGACCTACCTAACCCAAAGGTCGATGGCGACTTCATTCAATTTAACTCCAATCAATTCAAAATCACCAAAATTTTCCAAATAAAAGTCATAATTGTTTTTTAAAACAATATTTAATTGTTTTTTAAAAAAATGGTTATGACATATACCACATTATGTGGATCATAAGATGCATCATTGGTATGAAACATGTTATATGATTAAATTTTATAATAAATAGATCAGATAAAATTTTATAGTTTCATAGTAACTATATAAAATACATATATTATATAGTGTTATAAAGTGAATTCCACTCTTATACAAAATTTATATAATAATAAATAAACATATAATTATGATACTTAATGTTAATATAAAAATTTAATTTAAAATTAATCACGTCAATTTTAGATACGAGAAAAATTAAATTAATTTTAAAATAATATTAATAAATAATTTAATTAATTCAAATTTAAGTAACTAATTTTAAACATAACTATTACGATATTATTAATTATATATATTTATAATTCAGTTTTAATAATTAAATTAGAACAATTCATCTATTTAATTTTATATTTTAGATAATTTAAAGTTTGTTGCGGCGTTGCGGTGCAATTTATAGCGTGTTGCGGTGTTACGTAATGGGTTTTGACCGCAACAATTGTGATGCAGTTCTTTTATCGCGTTGCGTCGCGGTAACCTTAAAAAACATTACGATGCGGGCGTTACGCTATATTACGAACTCAATTTAGTACTACGCCTTCGAGGGACTTGGGGACTCCATCTCGTCCATCAGCACTGCCGTTGAACCAGGAAGTGAGGTGACGACGGGAAGGGCAGTTGGGACAGCAATAGGGAGAGTGGCGATATTGTTGGTTTTGAGTTTGTTGTGTATATGTTGTAAGAAGAGTAGAAGAAGATATGATGAAATTTACTAAGTGCCTTCCCCACCACTTTCTGGTCTTAAAGGTTAGATCCTTTTCCTCCATTTTTGTTAAATATTTTAAACATGAAAATGCTTCTTTTTTCATTTTGGTTTGGTTTTCCATTAAAAATATGAAAATATGAAGAATGATGCTTGCTTGGGTGAAGCTGACGATAGACAATTGAATCATAAATTTGGTGTTTTTTGGTATATTGTTGTTGGTGCATGTGCATAGTGTTTCTCTTGGTAATCAACTAATCATAATAATTCAAAGAGGTTTTTTTTTTCACCAACTGATCCATATGGTGGCCGGCAGTATCCCCGGCAACAAAATCCTCCATTGCAGCCTTTGAATCCTCCACCAGTTACAGCATGGCGACCTCAGCCAATGCCGTCACCTCCACCACCCTCACCTTTCATGAGCAGCAGTGGAGGTTCTGGATCTACTTATTCAGGTTACGAAACCTCGCTGCTGCCGTCCTCACCTGGTATTGCGCTAGGTTTCTCAAAGAACAGATTTACGTATGAAGAATTAGCTAGTGCAACAGACAGCTTCTCAGATGCAAACCTCCTTAGACAAGGTGGTTTCGGGTATGTGCGCCGTGGAGTTCTCCTGAATGCGAAACAAATAGCCATCAAGCAACTGAAGGCCGGAAGTGAACAAGGGGAGAGAGAATTTCATGCAGACGTCGAGATTATCAACCGTGTCCATCACAAACATCTCGTATAATTGGTCGGATATTGCATCTTGGGGACAACAAGAATGCTCGTTAATGAATTTGTTCCAAACAACACTTTGGAGTTTCACTTGCATGGTATGATAGTCTTGATTTGCAGGTCACAGAGCTTGTTTGGATTATTGTGAATGCAGAATAATGTTCATAATGCTAATTCCAGGAAAGGGGCGACTTACCGTCCAAAATCGCTATAGTATCGGCAAATGGACTTGCATATCTTCATGAGGATTGTATGGTTTTGTTGGCTCTCTCCCTTGCATGCTTACTCTAGATCTGGGATTTTCGTCACTTGTTAACTATTATCAATGTCTTCAGGTCATCCTAAGATCATTAATCGTGATATTAAGGCGGCTAACATTCTTTTGGATTACAAGTTTGGAGCTAAGGTATTGATTTCAGTTGTTTTGAATGGTCGTCTTGGTCTTTTTCGTCGTCACCCAAATCCGTATGCTTTCACAATATCGTCATGAGACGATGGATAAAGATGTTTTCACTCTTCAGGTTGCTGATTTCGGACTCGCAAAGTTTTCATTTCAACACTCGTGTCTCCACTAGGCTGATGGGTACCTTTGGGTAAGAAGACCTCTGCTTTCTGTTTTCTCGGTTCATACGCTGGTTGTTTTCGGTTTACTTCATTCTCACTCTCTAGGTATTTGGCTCCCGAGTATGCTTCGAGTGGAAAACTCACGGACAAATTGGATGTTTTCTCTTTCGGAGTCATGCTTTTGGAATTGATTACTGGATGCAGACTCGTAGACAGACTCTTCTTACATGGAAGACAGTTTGGTTGAGTGGGTTAGTTATCAATTTTGGTCTATGCTTGTCCGAGCAATCACTCACGAGCACAAACACAAACACGCATACTTCATCTGCATATTCTTCTCCAACTCTCCAAACCAGTTTCAGTAAATCTGATTCGGCATTGCAGGCTAGGCCATTGCTCCCACAAGCTTTGGATGATGGAAACTTCAATAGTCTGGCTGATCCCAAGTTACAAAAGGAATATAACCACAACGAGATGATTCACATGGCTGCTTGCACTGCTGTTAGGTAAATGGTGTCAAACAAAATTTCCATCTGACCTTATAGCACTTTAATGAAGTAGAATCTGATCAAAACTGTAACCAAGCAGATTGTCTAATCTCAATGAAGAACTGAAACCCGGACATGGCAATGTCTACTACTCTTATGAAAGCTCCGAGTACAATACAAGCCAGTACAACGAAGACATGAAAAGGTTCAGGAAGGCGACACTGGGCACAAACAAATGCGCTGCTAGTAATGAGTACAGTGAGCTGACAAGCAAATACTGTTTATATGAAAAATAGCCAAGGTTATAGCGGAAACTCAACCTCGTGATGCAAGACACCCTATTATTACATTGTAAAGATCCCATCCTTTTTTTATACTGTATAACATGAATTGGTTTTTTATTTTCATGAGACAACACAAAATAGTAAAATGATGGATACATCTGTAAACAATTTATATAGATTCAAGAAAAATTGTATACCAGATTTTCAGATATGGTTCTGAGTGTTCATCCCATTCGAGTGAAGATTGCTCGTAATATTCGACCAAAAGCTTAAACTAATTCAACCAGACCAAATTTCAGGTTTTCTTCATTAATTTTTTCAGCGGTACATGAATTTTCTGTTGTACACTTAAGACTCTGATCAGTAAGAGGTAAAAGAGGAAGCAAAAAAAAAAAAATTCACAATCTGCCTGGGCCTCATCGTTCTTTCATTGATGTAAAAGAAGTAAACTTCTGTTTCCATGGAGCATCTTTTTTTTTTGTTCGGTCCACGACAAAATGGCACTGTCTAACAAGCAGAACATATTGACATAAAGGAGTTGGTATCTTACCGGAACATATCAGAAATTCGTAACCTGAACGATTGGCCATATGCCACCTTCCAAAATCAAGGCCGGGAGGAAATCTCTCTTCAAGTCTTCCTTCACTTCAAGAACACTTTTGCCGGTGGAAAACCCCATATGAGTGAAAAACACGAACAAGTCAAAGAGGCCAAAGATAAGGCCATCCATTGCAACTTTGGCACCAACTAACCTTGCTGACTTCAGGCGGAGTTGAAGCCTCATCTTCATAAATTTGTCCAAGGCTTCATTTAGGATATGGTCGTAAGTAGCTGCCAGCTTGCATTGCGAAGTGCATTCGACATAACCGGTTGAAGATATAACAACATTGCAATCTTACACGTTAAAAACAGTTCTAAATTCTGTTTACAATACACTTCAAATTATCCAACTAATTAGTTCGATGAAATCTGTAAGAATTTTGAAGAATTCTGCAATATTTTATCAAATGTATCAGGGAAACATGTTTAAATCCCCGAGAAGTAGAATTTCAGTGTTCAAGACTTAGCAATTTGAACTCGACAAAACCTTGATTTTCTTGGAGGTATGTAGAATGCTAACTCACAACCATCACATACAAAAACAGTCTGTTACTAACAGTCAAAAGCTCCCAAAGAACACCTTTAGAGCTTTCTTTTCTTTTAATATCTGAGAACAAATTCTATCTAATTTAAGATAGGGCTCTATAGGCAGCCAAGTATAATTTCACAGATAAACAAAAATCAGCCTGATTAAATCACAGTAAAGAAGGGGAAATGAAAAGAAGAAAAACAGACCAGAAGTGTCCAAGCGATCCTACAAAGCCGAATCCAAATGTACTTGTGACAGCTACCCTTTTCCAGTTTACTTTAAATTCTTCATCTTCATCCTTCCAATTGAAACACCGATCAATGTCTTACTAGTGCAAATGGAGCTGTTTTACTCAGAATCCAGCTTCAACACACACGCAAATGAAGGGTAAGACACGATTTCAGCTTAATCACAAGTAGATCAGCATGAAAAGTTGAAACGATAACAAAATGAGGGAAGAAAACAACGGACATGCTTTTCTTAACAACCCTATCTCAAGTGAACCCTTGTAACACACTAGGATGTCCCAATGGCTTAAACTACACACCATCTATGGGATTTCGGAATATAGTCACCACCCATAACATTGGAACCATCAATCCAAGTCACAAATATTAGCTTCGTTTGCATTACCGAAACAGAGCCAATTATGAAACTTTACCAGCTCTTCTAGCAATGCCATATGTTGTAAACAAATTTCTCACGAGAGATTGCTACAATTATACTGAATTTACATTACCACTTGAAAATAAATTCTTTAAAACATACCTCGAACACTACCAAGTATCAACCAATAGTAGTGGATCAGACATAACCTATGAACTTCAAGCACGAGTATATATAACAAAAATGCAAATATATTTCAATAAAATTTCACCATTGAGGACTTCCATAACCCACAACATATCAACACAAAATCTAAGCGTGCAGACACTCAATTCAAAACAAATAAAGGAACTTTTCAAATGATAAGACAAAAACAGCAGGCACCCAATAGCCCAAATTGGTGAAAACTGGGCACAAAATCAACATGAATGTGAGATTGGAAAATAAAAAGGGGGTTTCTGGGATTGGAGAGAAAAACTGCTTACTTTAAATTGAAGGCGTTTCTTGGCGGTGGAATGGGTAATGTATTGAGCAGCAATATCTCCAACGCCCCAAATGAAACATGAGCTGATAACTTGTGTTTTACATGATGATGGGATAAACAGCTCTGGTAACATTTCCATATCCTCAACATTTTATTCAAAAGTACAGATTTTTTTTCAAAGAAAAAAGGGATTACTAAAGCCGTAAAGGGGGAGAAATTGGAGACTATAACAAGGAAAAATTGGAAACCATGTATTACTGGTGACCGCCTCTCCTGGAGGAGGTCAGAGGCAGACCATGTCCATCTCCATGACTCATCTCTTCGAGTTTTTTATGTGTTTTTGGCTCACTTTGGAGGGTTATTAAAACCAAAAAATATTGATTTTTTTATAATTATTTTGTACTCAAAACACAACAATTACGACGACAACAAAATAATTAAATATTCGAAATTTGATTATATAAGAAGTGAAAATTGGATAGAAAAGTTTGTATTCATAATAATTTTGGGTAAATTACATGTTTAATACATAAATTATCAATTTTGATCTATTTTAATACATGAACTTCCAATTTTTTAAAACCATACCTAAAGTTTAATTTTTGTTTTATTTTAGTATCCGCCATTAAAAACTTTAATCTTTGTTTCATTTTAGTACCCTACCGTTAAAAACTTTAGTTTTTGTTTCATTTTAGTACCCGTTCAAAATTTAACGTTAAGTTTTAAAAAAATTGAAAATTTAGGTATTATAACAGACCAAAACTGATAGTTTAAGTACTAAACGCGTTAAGCTTTTAACCATGAGGTACTAAAATGAAATGAAAACTAAATGTTAGGTATGATTTTAAAAAAATGAAAGTTTATATACTAAAATCGATCAAAACTAATAGTTTAGGTACTAAATACATAGTTTACCCTATTTTTTATAATCTCTTATTTGAATTAGTATATTAATAAATTATATATGAATGATTACAGAAAATAATATTCAGAACGTGTTGGTACAGAAGAAGGCCAAAAGGGTGTTGGATTGAAAAGAGAAATGTGGGGTTGAGCTATCCTAATGTGGGTGGCTAAGAAAAGGAAAGGTCACCATCAATGATTCAATACATATTATTTAGGCAACAAAACTTAAATTTAGAATATTAAAGGTCTTAAGATTGTAATATTATCACTGAATTAATATCTTATTAACAATGGTTATATTATTCAGTATGTGTACTTGCAAACAAACCTTGCCTACCATCAGTGAGTTTAATAGAGAACATGAAACGCAGAGGATAACAAGCAAACGATATCTTTCAAACATTTGAATCTATCAAAAACTGAATTTTAAAATTTTTAAATCATGTTGATTCAAAAAAAAATGTTGAATATGGTCAATGCTATAAGTTCATTAACCCACCAATAACTGGTTGGTCTAATAGAATGATACACTATATGATGTGATCCTTCCTAGGGCTAAACTTCTTCAACACATGCTCACATCATGGACATTTTACAATGTTGATTCTAAGGGAGTTTTACCTTATTTCGTTGTTTATTTGTTCATTTATGCATTACATATAACATGAATATGCTTTAGACTATGTTTGAGTATTATATTGTATAACATATGATATTCATGCATAACTTATTAAATCACATCTTTACTTAGCTTAATTCATGCATATGTTATGTTACACATTCCTTACTTATGTTAACATATCATTTGTATTATTATATTAGGCATAGAACATGTGTTGCATTAGATTGTTACTCATTTTTTTAAAATAAAATGTTCCATATTCATGAACTTGTGTATATGTGACTTATAAACATGTTGGTACAAGGTACAATTCAAGGCAATCTAAGGGGGACATTTCACATCTTCTAGATTGTTTGCCAATTTTGAACAGGTTCCAAGCATCTTCGGGTTATTAAGTCTTCTTGACTTTTAATCTCCTATATCTTAGCTTTCCAAAACACTTTGAATCGCATCAATCCGATATCGGGAGCTTGAGATATGTCCAGTTTAACACCCTAAACCTGAATGGGCCTAAAATGCCACATTGGGCTATCGAGGCAATCCCTGATTTCCAAAACCTACTCATTTTATTTTAAAACACACTCAATGGTATCATACAACATATAAAACAATTATTATAACATTTTACAAACCAGAGCTCCGTTACACATAATTTAAAATCAAAATAGTACATTTCATTGTTTCATAAAATAAATACACAAGTAAGGTTCTCTGAATATACATAGCAACTAAAGCTACAATACAATACTTTGAAGGAGATTCTAGAAGTCCTACTGTGATGGTACTCCACAATCTGCTCAAGTTACTAACATGCCGACGGAAAACATTCGAAGGTTGAGCTTACAAAGCCCAACAATATAATAGCTAATCTAGAGCAGCATTAAGAATTTCATAAACATAAGCGTGCTAAAGATATGATACTAAGAAGTAGGAATGTAACGTTCTAAAGTTCAGGCTGGTAGTTTGGGTCGGTATTCGGGTCGATTTTTCGAATTTTTGATAAAAGAAAACAATGTTAAAAATTTACATTTTAATTTGGGAAATATTTTTGAGAGGTTTTAAATGATATTTAGTTGTTGAATTTTATTTTGGAATTTAATTAGTGTTTTGATTTGGTGATTAAATTAAATTGATAGGAAATTATGATTTTAGTGACTATTTTGTAAATTATCACAAATCCAAAGTCTATGAAGCTTATTTTACCAAGGTTTGTGTTTAGAGTTTTTCCTTCCTAAATTAACCGTATTTTAATATTTCCTTTTTACCAAAAATCCATGTAGATTCATTCTTTAATCAAAATTCATTTTCATCCATTGATTTTCATTTCACGTAACTTTCATTTTCTCTTCAACTATTTTTTAACTTCTAAATTCTCTTGACAAATGTCATTTTACTATCAAAATAATTTCAGCTTCTTAATAATAAATAAAAAAAGAGTAGAGTAGGGAAGCAGGGTCGGTCCACAAGGACTCTGGTGTTTCTGATGAAGTAAACTTTCTGATTTAGATAATGATGAGATAAGGTAGAGTTTTGGATAAGATTAAATAGGGGGTTTAAAATTTGTTTTTAAAATAAAAGATAAGAATTAGATAAAAGAAAATAATTAATTAAATAAATTTAAAGTGATTGAGATAAAAATAAACTTATAGTGAAATTAGTCTCGGGCTTCAGCTTTTGCCTCAAATTCTTATTGATCCTCGGAATAAATTTTTGCTTTGGTTATTCACCGGTTACAGTTTACAGGGCCCAACCCCTGTAACTTATTTTTCTCTCTTGTGAACCGATGACCCAAAATCTATTTTTGGATATCAGTCATTTACGGAGACCAACTACGACTATTGTCGTTAGCGCCAAAATGTTTTATAGATCTGGAAAAACCCGACTCAGACTATGTTGCCTCAATGAGAATCGAGCCCGATCTCAATTTCCCTTAGCGGACCGCCGCTAAGTGTGTTCACAGGAAGTCGAACTTGCTACCAGCCTATTCTTCCTCCTAACTATAAATCAGAACAACTTCTGAACCAACTTCAACTTTTTGATTAAAAAGCGTTTTGATTTTAAAAAGATAGGTCGATTACCAATCTTATTCCTCCAGAAAATTGAGAAAATAACTCGAAGTTATTTTAGTGCTTTCCAATCCTCACAATAAGGATTGAGTCATCACTTCAGCTCTTGGCTATGGAGAAATTACCTAAGTATGGCAATCATAGTTAGCATCTTTGAAAATAAAAATAAGAATAAAATAAAGAAGAACTTTGAAAAAGAAAATAAAACTTTTATAAAACCAGAGAAAAGAAGAAGAATGATTTCTGAATGTGTTTCTAAGCTTACACTGAGAGGGTATTTATAGCCTTCAAAATCCTAAAAATAAGGAAAATATAATTCCTAAAATAAAGAGATAATTCCTAATGATAATACTTAAACTATTTAAATAAAAATACTAAACACAAAGATAAGATAAAATATAATATTTAAACTAATATCCTAAAAACATGAGTTTAATTTAAATTCGAATAACAGAAACGTGTGGATGATCTATTCGTCCTTCTAGAAGCGCTGAGCGGACCTTCTAGAATGCTGACTCATTTCCTCGTCATATGTGTCATGCCCAGATTCATGCCCACTAATCCAGTCTTGATTCTGAAAATAAAGAACTGCATAATTCTGTCCTTTTAGTGCAATTTCCAGAATCTAGTGTCCTACACAGAAAATGAATCAAAACGAACAAATCAACCAAAAAAACTAACAATTAAGGAGCAATTTAAAGATAAAATAATAACTAAATAAAGCACTTATAATCTATCATTTTCTTTCTTTTTGCTGAGCATTTTCTTCATCTTTTCTTCTCTTTGATTTCTAATTCTTCTCTCCTCTTTGCCGATTTTTACTTTTAATCATGATGGAGTGTTATTGTTGATTTCCTTCTTCTCTTTTCAACCTTTTAATAGAAAGGTAATGCTCCTTCCCTGGGTTTCTTTCATGCTTTGAGGATAAGTGATTTGTTGTTAATGATTCTTTTGATTAATCAATCTACTAAAAAGGATTTTATGAGCTGAAATTGATTTTTAGAGTTAATTATTGAGCTAATTTTATTAAGGTGTTTATGAGGTTTTATTGATGAAATTGATATTTTTTGGGATGATTATAATCATGTTAAAATAGTTTTTCAATTGCTTTTGATTTAGATATCGATTTATTAAAAACAAGCTTGATTTTAGCATTTTTTGGAAATCTAGGAATTAAGAGTTGTAGAGGTTAAATAGTGCGGTTTTAGCTGGATTGGATGTTAATTTTAGTTGTCGTTGATAAGCTTTTGTTGAGGAGAAGTGATTTCATTCGAATCGAAGGTTTTGGAGAGTTGTTTCGGTAAGGATTTAGATAATTTCAATGTTTTCACTTTGTTTTAGAAATAGAAAAAATATACTCTATTTTAACATTAGTTTTGATGTGTTATTTTTATTTTCAAGGTGTTTGATGTCCTATATATTGAGAAGAATTTGTGCTTTGTGTTTTTGTGAGCGTTTGGAAGCATTTTCGGTTACCGGACAACCAGGTGAGTGACTTTCATTTTTTGAGAATGTATGTGTTCAAGGTTAAGGAAAGTGTAGATTGATTTAATACTTGATCTTAATTCTGATTATGTGACTTAATTGATGATGCTAATGATAATATGGATTGTGCTACATTGAGTGTGATGCAACATATATTGGAAATGTGAATGTAATTCGTCGCAAATGATAAGTAGAATTTTGAAAATGTTTTTATGAAAATCTATATATAATGTGAATATGTGATTAGACAAGTCGAACATTCTCGATGTCCATAATGTGAGTTGATCATGACAACCAATTAGTATTGTGTTTCAAAATGAGTTTGATTAAATATATGTGAAAAACTATGCATCATTGACAACCGCTCTTGGTATCTCGAATTAATTGGCTATTTGTTCTTAATATGACCTTTGGATATGAAAGGCATGCCTAGGAAAGAGTACTCTATGTGTTTTATATGTATGTGTGATCAGGTTATACAGGGTCCGATTGATGCTTTGAGCAATGCTCTGTAATTTCGTGGTTATGGACCTATGTGAGTTCACAAATAAAATAGGAGTCTATTTATCCAATCAGTGGTGTTTCGAACAAAGGCCATTGATCTTATAATAGAAAAATATGTGTGCATTGTGTGTGACTTGCCGAATAAGGTAATTTTACATGTGAGTATGTGGTTGTTATTGGTTTATGTTGACAAATGATACTTGAACATTCTATAATTTGTGTGCATTTAGTATGCGATAAGTGATCATCCGAGAATGACATGATTTTATATATGTTGAGATAAAAACAAGTAAGGCGTGTGTATGTAGGACTTTGATTCATTTTAGCTATGTGCATTGTCTTTGAATGATTGTTATTCACTGGGCTTTTCAGCTCACACTCTTTGTTTAACGTTTTCAGAGGATTAGAAATGAGTCAGAGGCGAGGGGCTAGCAACGGAAGTGATCAAGCATGGCAAAAGTTCAAGTGAAATGTATGTGGTTTTGAAAATAAATGGTGGCAATGTAGGAGACATCTCAAGACTTAGTCATTTGATGTTATGTTGATTTGTAATAATTGCACTTGTGTTGTGGATGGTTGATTTTGTGATGGGAGACTTGCCGATCATTTGATTTGTTGTTTTGATATTTGTTTGTATGTTTTTGGTTGAATGATTCATGTGAATGCTCAAATGTTGACTTGAACCTTAAACAAGTGTGTGGAGTGCCTAGACAACTGTAATCAAGTAAACCAAACTTGTTAGACCTTTAGGTAGCATGAAATGACCCAAAATGCAAAAGCTGAGTAATGACTTGTACTAAAGATGAACATTTATGCAATATTTGACTTTTGATGTCAAATTCTTGTATGATGTGTTGACCTATGTTATGAAGCATGCTACACCTGTATTTTGACATATATGAGGTGGTTTGACAGTGTATAAGCATGATCATAGCTTATAGAAACTTTGGTGTGAATGTTTGGCAACTAAAAAATGCATGTTCTTGAAAAATCTACAGAAATTCATAGAAAGGATCGATCCCTCAAGGACAAGATTGTTCCTTTTCAAAAGGATTGATCCATTTTCCAGAAGGACCGATCCCAAATATACTATCGAGCATAGGATTAATTCCCCGTGAAAAAGGATCGATCCCTTTCAAAAAAAGATCGATCTCTTTTAAAAGAGGATTGATCCCTTCACTATTGAGCCCGACGGTAAAAGGTAAAATCGCATTCATTAAAGGCCTGAAGTGTTCCTTAGTCTTAGAATGTCCCCTAAATGTTTGTGTGAGTTCAAAATGGTCCTGAAATTGAACTACTAATTAATCATTAACGATAACTCAGAATTTGTTGGGACATGTTTATCACTATTAAAATATACTTAATTTCATAATGGGAACATAAATTGAGTGTTTGTTATTCATATGTAAATTTTGATTGTTTATGTTTTAGTCTCTAGACTTGTGTGTTTAATTAGGTACTCGTTTGATGTTTGAATGACTAGAAATTTTGCATGCTGATAATTGAAGATTAATAATAAGGAATGGTAAACTCAATTTGACTAATTGACCTTGAATTTATTTTAGATGAAATGTCTGTTTTACCACTGATTTAATGTTGCGATGTTCATGCTCTGTTTTTTTTGGTGTTTAATTCCATGTTATCGAATATGTTTTGCTTCCACATGTCACATGTTGAATTGATTTTAATTTGAATTCTTCTGCATAATACACATGACTTAGAATTTTATTTTGCCCAACATGATTGGAATCTAATGTACACTCAGGTATCTGGGTCTATCTTTCAGACTGGTTATAGGGTGTTACAAGGCGCATACATATGATCAAGTGCTACCTACTTAAGGCTTAACTGATTTGCCACTGAAATAGGGGTCCTATGCTTCCCTTAGTTCTCGGAAAAGGGTCTCCCCATGAGTACACCTACCAACCCATCCCTCGCGAGTTTTAAGGCCTCAACACATAGTTAGCCACAGAAGCACCTCGCACACCTATTTCAGGTGTTCTCAGATATCCTATACTACTAGATGATTGTCATTGCCTGAATTGCATTGATTCGACTACACATGCATACCGAAGACCCAGAGGCCACGTAACACTGACATCGCTTACTGACTCTTAGTTAATGTTTAGAACTCCCACCCTCACTAGCTCCTGAAGTGCCTTGCGCACTAACAACGCCCTACTAGGGTAACTAAGGTGACCTGGGTATACCCTAGAAAAACTGGACTCACTAAGGTGAGATCATCCTCTCTCTAAATGCTATCTCGCTCGTTATCTTGCTTAGAACGTTATTCAAAGGCTTATTGGTCTATTACTACTGTTATTTAATACGATACTCTATTATAGTCACTCGCTACTTAAGGGTATATTAATCATTCTTTACCTCTAATGAAGTTTCTACATATTCTCAGGATATTTTTACTATGACTTTTGTATTGTTATTCACTGACTGTACTATTAGCTAGCCCGATAACTGACTCGAGTTCAACTCTAAGTAGCTACACCGTGATCGCTCTTATTAAACTTCCTTTCAAAATCCCTCGAATTAAAAGGATGACTTACACCTCCTAAGTTCACTGACGTTCTCGAAGCCCATGCTTCCTGCTATTTCTGAATCTGACTTGCTCATTGTGCCCCTAGTTGATACATTCCCTACAAAGATCCTCGTCCTTAACCAATCTGTATACATGCTTGACTAAAAAACCTTGATCATGTTACGCCTACTATGGTTACTTCAGTTGTACCCCTTTGGCCTTTTTCATCCCTAACAAACTAAGTCTTACTAATTCAGATCATCCTTAGCTCTTACGAACCTTAATTGGGTCAAACCTAATCATCCAAAATGAGTAGCATCGATAATCTACTTGTAGTATCGATAACCCTATGAGTATCAGTACCAAAAATACATTGTGTTTTTGAAATTGAGGCCCAATATCAATACTGCCACCTTGAGTATTGATACTGTAAGGGTAATATCGATACTCCCCTTGGCAGTATCGATAATCTTAACATGAA